TAATTGGGCGCTAACCGTATCATTCAAATATATTGAATGTCGCAATGTTGGCAAAGAGAGGAAGTGACATAAGATTTGCGCATGCGGGGTACCGATCGGGTTTCCGGTACGGATCGGGTAGTGACAGACTCTGTGCACGAGAAAATGCTAACTTCCTGGTTTGAGACTGGATGTATGGTTGTACATTTCCGGTGGCTTTACTTTGCGGTGAATCGCTAATGTGAAGATATACTCCAAAATCATGTCCAAAACACGGAAAGATCGCGTTAAGTTACAAAGAGCAGAAGGTGGGAAAACTCACCACTGTTGTGTCATAAAAAAAAAAATCTAATGATCAATTTTGACGTTTAAAGCATTTAGATCGATCAGTTGTTTACTATGGAACGCCAGGACTGCCATAATGAATTAATTAAATACACCATTAAATAATTAATTAAATGTGGCAATAATTAATTAAAATTGGAATTAATTAATTAAATAAATAGTTATGACACATGTAATTAATTAATTATTGACACATTTACTTAATTATTTATGTATTTCACATTTTAATTAATTATTGACACATTTAATTAATTATTGACACATTTAATTAATTATTGACACATTTAATTAATTATTTGATGATATATTTATTTATTTCATTTTGGCAGTCCTGGCGCCTGGCTCTCATCATGAAATAATTTTATCTGTCAGCCTCACCCATCAAACTCAGGGGGCGGGGCTAACGCTGATCAAGTCAAAACCATTGCTTTGGCCTGGTGGCCATTGTTTCTAGCACACAACAACCGGCATGTGGAAGCTAACAGAACTGAGCTTTGAAAAACCCTGTTTGTGTGTCACCAAATACCGTTTTAATATTTTTTTAGCCGAGAATGTAGTGGTTTAATCTTCATGTGTCTGGTCGGTTTGTCAAGATACAGCCTCTTTGCAAAAGTGTTTCGATGATTTCGGAGATGTCTGCCCAGTCTCACGGCAAAGCGTGGGATAGACCCGCTCGCTTCGCAAGCAATCCCACCGACAAAGCGCAGGCCCCGGTACACAGCTGTAGTAACCCCCGCTGACTTCTTTTACTGAGGTTATATTTATCGGTGTTTTATTTCCTGATGTTCTTATGTGTCCTACGTGTTTCAGTCGCCAATTCTGAATTATAACTAACATTAAAAACATGTTTAAGGAGGCGAGAGAGCAAATAAATCTGTTTAACATCTGATCTTTGGGTTTTTGTTCAGTAATCAGCGTGACCTGTGTATAAACACATAAAAGAGATAACGTTGGTGTTTCCGTCATGTAGTAACTGCTGGCTTTAACTGTACAAAGGTTGTTCGACACTATAAAACACATACAGACTTCATGATGTTCGGCTAATATTTTTATTGTGAATAATCATGCTGACCTCGCTCTGTACACCACGCAGCGAGGTCAGCATATCCACGATATCCACGATATCCTCAGCTCCATGAGTTAACACAAAGTTTCCCAGCTGACTATCTAACTTCCAACTATTCCAGTGACGTGAAAATATACAGCATAAAGAAAAGTGTAAGAGACTCGGCAGCAGATTAGAATAACAGTTATACATTTAATAAATCACCAAATGAATCCAAGAAACGAGCAAACCTGTTCCGACAATTTGAGTTTGTATTCCCTCAGCTGCAGACTCGCTGCTGTTTAAATGTTTGAAAAGGAAGATTAGATATAAACAAACGTCAAACATAGATTCAGTCTGCCTTCACATTTGATATGAGGCCAGCACGTATAGTGGCTGTGTCCTGTTTTAAGATCATACATGTAAAATTGTTGTCTGACCTCCGTCGATCCAGCCGCTCAGAGTCCGTGGTTACCATGGTTACTGCATAAGCAGCTATAATGTTAACAGCTGGCACTGAGGAAACCTACCGGCAGCATGGGTGTTTATGTTTGTCATTGCAAAAGAACTGTCTGAATGGTTAACTGAAGTTAACTTGGATAAATTATAGTTAAGGAGTATCACAGATAACGCCTACGTGAGCTGTGCGACTGTTCACCACTACACTGAAATCAGCAGGCTATTACTGAAATACACGTGCTATATCATAAACTATGATATAAATAGGGAGGTCCTATTAACATGTTTAGTTTTAAAGGACACCTTCCTGCCTTTAGTCTCCTTCATGAGCAGTATTAGTTTTCTTCTAACATCCAGAAGTCTGCACGATGTGTTTCATAGTTTGTAACAAGCCTTTGACAGGTAAACATAACATGACCGAAAAAGCAAAAAAAAAAAAAATGAGAGAGAGAGTGTTGACATAAGAAGAGAAAATGCTCTCAATTATGGAGACAGGCAAATGGTTCATTTATGTTTGATGTGTGTTTATTCCTCCCTAAATATCGTCGGTAAAAATGCGCAGGAAAATCTGACGTGCATGGCAAACCATGCACGTCAGATTTTCCTGCGCATTTTTATACGTCTGCCAACAGAGAGAGAAAAAAAAAAATCACATTCTAACAGACAGCTGGTGCTTAGAATACAGTTGAATAACTATTAAAAAACAGATGATATTTAGATGATAGTTCAGTCTAACACATGTGCCAGTGAACCATTAAACGTCTGTGAAACTATGCAGTTATGAAACGTAACTTTAACTTCAGCCAAACCGATTTGCTCAGTTGTAAATAAAACAGCGAAGTAAACGTGACCCGACAGACAGAACCTGAGTGAATGAAGTCCAGCGTTTAACCACTGAGAGCTAAAACTCTGCTAAGCTGTGTGCCGGTGATTGGACATCAGCCGCTGATGAAGCTGGTTCGCCTATAATGTGCTCTGTAAGGAAACAAGCTCTAGCAGCTCTGCGCTCGGGGAAAACACTATATTTACTTATCTTGTGCATAAAAATGCGCTGACATTGCTTTATATCGAGCACCGGCTGCCCAGTTAAACTGTGACTATCACCAGGTAACGTAGGCGTGTTTCTTGAATTAGCAGTAGGTGTTAAACAGCTGACAGATGAGGAGGAGGATGCATGCAGGTAAACTGAGGGTCTGTTGAGCTGATCGCTGGTTTCGTGAGAAAAATGTCAGCTCGTTCTTTATGTTACAGAAGCACAGAGACACAAGACCAGGCGGAAAGAGACGATCGTTCGGTGAAAATGAGAATCTGCGAATGCAACATGTGGAACACGGAGAGTGGAATATGTAAACAAACCGGTTAACGTAACCCCCTCGGTGCACTCTGCATGCTAATTGTTAGCAGAGGTAGTGAAATCTCTAAAAACATCTGAGCACTTTTGCAAACATGTTCTATGTTGACAACCTGACCAGACATACGGCGCGACATTCGCCGCTAAAACACTGTTAAAAGTGTAGCTGGTGACAGAAAAACGGGGTATTTTAAAACTACACCACCACCATTGCTGCCTGTGATTTGATCTGCATTCTGGGATACCTGGCTGCCCCAAGTCTACACAAGCAATCGATTATCTAGGATCGGCCTGTTTTGACTTACTTTGCACGGCAACCAATCAAATGTTAGAGAAGCTGCATGGACAGCGTTAACCCCGCCCCCTGAGTTTGATGGGTGAGGCTGAAATTATTTCATGATGAGAGCCAGGCGCCAGGACTGCCAAAATGAAATAAATAAATCATTAAATAATTAATTAAATGTGTCAATAATTAATTAAATGTGTCAATAATTAATTAAAATGTGAAATACATAAATAATTAATTAAATGTGTCAATAATTAATTAATTAAATGTGTCAATAATTAATTAAAATGTGAAATACATAAATAATTAATTAAATGTGTCAATAATTAATTAATTACATGTGTCAATAATTAATTAATTACATGTGTCATAACTATTTTTTTAATTAATTAATTCCAATTTTAATTAATTATTGACACATTTAATTAATTATTTAATGGTGTATTTAATTAATTCATTATGGCAGTCCTGGCGTTCCATAGTTTACATCACTCAACACAAGCAGAACTGCATTACAAAATCAGAAGACACATCGTCCACATTCAGAAGCACATCTCTGTATAGTAACAGTTCTTATGGTTTAAACAGGCAAATGTTCAGCATTCAAACTACAGGTATATAATAGTCAAAGCCAGATGTTTCCCGTTATGTTGATATCAGCTAGTCAAGTACACACCTACACAGCATGTCAACAAACCGTGGGAAAAAGCCACACAAAAAAAATGAATGATTGCTAGTAAGGGTTTCTATACATTAGTACTTACAAAAAGTATGTTGTGACTTACTTTCAAAATTACAGTGGTCCCTCGCTATAACGCGGTTCACCTTTCACCTTGCTGTTTCGCAAATTTTTTAGTGCAAGTTTGCATTTTTTTTTTACATCACATTGTCCTGATCGGCTGCCGACGATCTACTCCGTGCCAGTACAGTACTGAATCGCTGCATCGATCGCTAGCAGTGTGACTCTAAAGTGCAGTAGGGGGGCCGCTGTTTGCAAATACTGAGAAACATAGAATTTGAATCCTTTCTCTGTTTTGCTCTGAGGCGCAGGGAAAAATATCGACAGGTCAATGAACAGCATCTACATATATATTCCGTAAATGCCCAAGACAAATCGAGAAATCTAAATCGCCCCTTGATTCATCCATTTGGTCGACTTGTTTTGGAAAAGCCTCAGCAAGGAACGAATATCACACCGGAAACGAAGCGCCCTACAGGAGTTTCGCACCAGAAGTAGCATATGCTAAGTCGCACATGTCCTGTAGGGCGCTTCGTTTCCGCTCTGATATATATGGACAGACTAGAGTGAGAAATGTGAATAACAAAACAGAAGAAAACCGAGCAAAGGGAAAATGACACATTAGTGATTAAAAAATCAATAGATACAGAACATAAATCCACATAACCATCTATAAATTATTGATTAGTTACAAGTGAGCTTTACACGCAGCATATTAAAGCCATATCTGTGAGTCGTTAAACGTGGATCATCACAGCAGAGCGGCACACAAATATCACAGTGAAAACAAACTTACTATTTCTGCTGCCAGGATGAACCCTTTCTGGGTATTCACGTAGCTTTTCAGCCTCTCCGCGCAGCTGGGAGAGCCGGACGCACTTGTATCAGCCATTCTGTACTTTATCAAAGTTCACTAAACAGACAGTGTGCTGCGTGTGTTCGACCCCTAACTGCGAGCAGATTAAACAAATATTCTTCTTTCTTTCTTTAGTGGAGGAAAGTTTAGAGAGGGCTGTCCTGGTGCGGTTTACCGTTACTCTTGCTTAAACTGGCAAGTCGCTATTTCCCCTCAGGCGGATGAATCACCTTGATGAAATGCGCTGATTGGCTTCCAGCCAGCACGACCACAGAAGCTCTGCGGAAACATGAGGGAGGAACAAGGAACCGGCGTAGGAGTTCACTGCCGGGCTTTGGCTCGCTACTGCTTTCCTTAAGGGGAGCTGTTTCTCTGTAATTACCTGAAGTTATTTTAATGTTTTGTTATGTCATTTTAGGTTGTTTACATTTGCTTTATACCGTGACGCTGCCGGGGATTATTTAACTGCAAATAAACAACTGGATTGTTGTGCTGGTGCTTGTGCTTTATTAATATTTGCACAGATCCCTAAAATCCCTAAAAACTATATGTAGGACGAAGAGAATGGGTTGCTAGAGAGCAAAGAAACCATGCAAGTTACAAGTTTACTTATTTTGCTTTATTACATACTTTCCCCGTCTCCCTTAATAAGTGAAAACAAGAAGGCTGACAGGAAGCTAAACAAAAGACTAGAGCTTCAGTCCAACTTTGTTCTTTTCATTGTTTTCCTTGCATCATATTCGCTGACATATGCATAATTTGTGACTTTGAGCACACGCAGAGCAAAAAAAGAAAAAAAAAGTGCGACATGCCAGCTTGCACGTGAACAGGGGCAAGCTGTTTCTAATAATAATTTCTATTTATTAACTCAAAATTTTGAGAAAAGTAACTCGAAATTTCGAGTTAGCGCTGCCAATCAGTAATCTACGTGAATGACGTCATTTCCTCGTTACCCGGAAGCTGAAGCCCTCAGCTACAAATGCTACAGTTAAGCAACCGGTATTACATCCAGTCGTGGATGCACACATTGCTGAGTGTTTTCAGCCTTGCTTCACAAATGATGAAATCCCTGTGTTATTAGCTGAATCACATGGTGTTACTATCAGCAAGCGCCAATTTGTTTGTTTGTTTTTTGGGTTTGCAGCCTTTTTTTTTTCTTTTTTTTTTAAACTTTATCACATTTTAGACATACAGTCAAGTAAAACAGGGATCACATAAAAGATGACATTGTGGTAGTACAATGAAGAACAGAAAGAGTGACAAGGACAGTGAGACAAAAGTGAGTACAAAAAATAAAATAAATTAAGGGGAACATAAATAAACAAAAGTTTGCAAGAGCCAAAATCAAGTTAGCAGTTTCAATCGGTTATAGATGTTAACAGTCTTGAGAGCCTTAGTGATTTTTGATGAGGAGATTGTCCTTATATATTGTGCAAGTTCCATTTTTAATACAAGAAGTTCAGGCTTTCTGCCGAGGACTTTGCTTTTGTGTATATGAAATTTTGCCAAAAATAAAACCAAATTTATAAAGAAGAAAGCATCATTGTCCTTGTCTTTAAAATTATAATAGCCAAAGATAACATCCTTATAGTATAGTCGAAGATTAGGGAGAACAAAGTCAGCAATAAACTTGTGGAAATCCTTCCAGAATTTACACGTAAATTTACATGACCAAAACAGATGAGAAACTGTTTCAGGTTGCTCTTGACAGAAAGTACAATTTACATTTATTTCAGCCATAAATTTGGACAAATATTGTTTGGTAGGGTAAAACCTATGAATCAACTTAAAGGAAATCTCTTTAATTTTGTTTGTCAAGAAAAACCTAAAGTCCAAACTTTTTTCCATTCAATATCTGTTACAAAATTGGCCCAATAAAATATGGCTGATGGAACACAGACCATTGCATCCTGAAAGAGAGATCTTATTTTGGTATTTATAGACTTATGAGAGGAAAAGCAAACATTGCCAAGAGAAGAATGTAACACATCCGGGGGAGTGACCTGTAGTGGAGCACTGTGGGAGCATCTGTGTAACATGGACAGACCAGATGGGATGGCATCGAACACTATTGAGAATTCTTTAGGCGTTATCGGTACATTGTATCTCCTGGGGAACTCAGAGTAATTATAAAAGAGTCCATCTTCTCTATATAACTGACTAACCAAGATTATTCCATTATTAAACCAGTTATTTTAAAAAAGAGTTTTATTTTTATAAATAATATTGCAGTTATTCCAAATAAAACAGTTTTGTGGAGAGAAATTGTGTTTGTAAATCAGGGCCCATGCCAAAAGAATTTGTTGATGAAAGTGAGAAAGTTTCAGTGGTATTTTTGGAATACTGTAACTGCAGAGCAGTAGGAAGTTAAGGCCGCCTAAATTAGAGAACACATGATGTGAGATAAAGTTCCAGATAGAAGTGGGATTCTTTAAATACTTTTTAATCCAGTTTATTTTAAAGGTGTTGTTAAGAGCACCGAAATCAATAAAATTTTTACCTCCTTTATCATATGAATTTAAAGCTACTGATTTACGCAAGTAGTGAGTTTTATTGTTCCATAAAAAATTATATAATAATTTGTTAATTGACTTACAGGTTGTATTATCAACATGTAGTGACTGGGCAGCATACCTTCAGCTTTCGATAGCAGAACTCTACCCTTCAATGACAGGTCTCGCTGTAGCCAATGATTAAAGATTTTTTGGGATTTATCTATAATAGGAATGAAGTTTGTGGAGCATCTGGATTGCTCATTTTTTATTATTTGAATTCCAAGGTATTTTACAGAGCTTCTTACAGGTATTCCATGAATTGAAGTTGCTAAACAACTTTTAACTGGTAAAAGTTCACATTTATGCAGGTTGAGTGAAAGTCCGGAGGCTTTAGAGAATGGCTGTATATTGTTAATGGCCACTGAAACTTGCGAGGCGTCTCTGAGGAAGAGAGCTGTATCGTCTGGCAGCTGACTTATGAGTATTTCTCTGTTAGCAATGACCAGGCCTTTTAAAGAACTGAGTTCAATGTGCGAATTAAGGAGTTGCACAGAAAGAAGGAATAAATATACGGATAGGGGGCAACCCTGCCTCACTCCACGCTTTAGAGAGAATCTTGGGGAAGTACCAGTGGCAAGCTTTATGGAGCTGTTACTATTGGAATACAGTGTCCGAACGGCATTACAGAAGGACTGACCAAACCCAAATTTATTTAAAGCAGTAAAAATAAACTCATGCTCTAAGGAGTTGAACGCCTTGTAGAAATCTAGCAAGCGCCAATTTGTTGGGATCCGTTTTTGAATGCGCGTTCCTCTGCGCCATATGCTTCCGGGTAACAAGAAAGCGACCTCATTCACGTATATTTTTGATTGGCAGAGCTAACTCGAAATTTTGAGAAAAGTAACTCGAAATTTTGAGTTATATTTCTCGAAATTTCGAGTTATGGATACTAGCTGTTTTGTTTTTATTTAGTGGCGGAAACGGGCTTCCATATGATGCAGATGGTATTATGAGAAATGGGAAAACTTGTTTTGTGGTTAGTGGAAAGTGGAAAGTAGTGATCCATTAGGAAATAAAGGAGCAACAAAAAGGAAGTATTTAAGTTGCACCTGGAGATGATTTTTATTACTGTGCAACATTATCAAAATATATAGTGTGTGGCATAAAGTACAATATTTGCATTCAGAGTATGTTGCACTATTAAAAAGCAACAAAATAGAGTAAAATTAAACACTTCAGTAAAACACTCCACTCCAAGTTACTTCCACCACTACAATACCTGTCCATGTTCTTATCCAGTGGGCAGTGGGAATTTAAGTCATTTGTTGAGGGGTGTCACTGTGGGTCGATCATACTCCCACCCCAAATCGAACTCTTTGGACATTACCTAGATGATTATACGTCCCCTTCTTTCTTTATGAATACACCAGATAAAGAAAAGAAGTGTCGAACTGTTTACTTTCAGTACTAATGTAGGATGTTGTCTCAAATTATGATATGGGGGCAAAAGGGATGAAAATGCTATTTTGGGCATTTCTTTTACTTATCTGAAAAGTTGCAAACAACGTTAGCTCTTAAAGGTAAAGAAAAGTTTTTGTCTGTTGAATTCCAGCACTGCTCACTTTTTCTGTCATCCTGAATATTTTGAAAAGTATACCTAAATTAGCTTTAATTTTCAAAGGTAACCATGACATAAAAAGCCCTCAAATGCTTAAAATGCTTGCTGGCTTTCTCACAGAAAGTTTATCTTCTGTACATTTCAGCTGGAATATAAAAATATGCTTTCCAGCACTCACAAACACTGTATAGCCTCTATACTTTCAACACCCTAAAATATTTCACAAGCTAATGATATCTTTGAAGACTGCATAAGGCATGAGTCATTTTAAACGGAAAGGAAGAAGTTTAACATTTTTTTTTGTTATGACCACAGGCAAGCTGATAAGATCTGTGCGCCAATCCAAGATGCTTTTATCTCTGTGTGTGCAGAGGTTACCGTAAACAAGGGGAGTGTTACTTTGAGTTTTAACGTGTAATTGTATTCCTTTATGCTTTTATCATGTAGTTAAAAAAATGCTGTGTTTTGTGCAAAATTCAAAAGATTACCTGTAGTTTACACTTACATCATCGCCAAACAATAAAAGGAAATAAAAAAAAAATGAACTTAAAGATCAGTTTTCACTTCTGTCATTTGTACACTGCATTTTGTATTATACTCCTGGTATTCAGACTTCAGCCTTTCTAATTTGTGCAAGTTTCCAGGTTAGTATGACTGTGCTTAATGTAGGCCTATTTCAAGAAACATATGCCATCTATAGAGCCATCTACCTGAGCATGATTAGCATTTTAGAAGCCATATGAAACTGTACAGGCGTTAAAATAGATCAAGCTTTCTCTGTTTGTCCATCTTGAAACTTCAGAACATTTTCAGTGGCATGTCACTTTTTATGTTCTCATGTAAATTATATTAACAATTTGAAAGCACACAAACCACATATGAACAGAAAAACACCTTTTAACCTTCAACAGAATAATTTCAATTTTATTTCATTTCGTTTCACATGGATCCCATATAATAAGAATACAGCAGAATTCTGGAGCGTCTCGGTTATTTTGTTTTTTCTCTGACTTATCATTATCATAAATACTAATAGGAATACATCATACACAATAAACACAGCACTATCCAAAGGCTTAGAGAGTATCACAAGACATCATTCACCACTAACAACAGAGTATATTTCATTTCAGCATATTTATAAGAGCTACAGTGAAAGAGAAAGAAAGAGGGAAACAACCGAGGTGGGAGACTAGAGGAGGAGATAAAGCAAGGTGCTTCTACACTGCCTGAATCAAAGAACCCTGAATTTATATATTTATCTATGTATTTGTGTTCACTTTTTTTCAAAAAACAAAACAAAAAAACATCTGGATGAATACGAGGCTGTACAATGGACCAGTATACTGAAGATGAACAATTTATTGTGACGAAGCTGGTGGAAGCAAAACTACCAATCGAGACGCATCTCCTACCATTCGGCAAAGACGATCTAGAATGTCCAGTCGGAGGACTGGCAATCAAAAAGTGTGTTGATATCTGGAAATAAATAATTATTGCAACACTTACTTTGTGCTTTGAGTAGAATATAGCAGAGCTGCTGTTCAGTTTGTGTCGTGTGCAGTAACCTCTACGATGGATTGAACGTACCACGACATTTACTGTGTAGCCTAATGCTTTCCTGCAGCCGTGAGCCTCAGCCTCTGGAATATGTTTAAGGATGCTTTGAGATATAGGAAGTAGGATGCATGCAGTAAACTGGTTCGCCACCAGAAAGAGAAGAGCTTAAGAACGACTGAAGATGCAGACGGATTATATATGAAGACATATTGTTTAAAATGCTTCATAATATTACGTGGTTATTCCATGGCATGAGCGAGGTCTTTAAAATTTTATACACTTTATTCTCATTTCTCTACAGTTAATGTTAATGTATGTATGCCACTGATTACAGTGTGATAGAAACACCATTTAAAAAACTATATAACTCTGTCTTACAACTTTCAGGACCACATAAAAGGCGACTGAAAACAGGATGTGGTTCATTGACAAAATGAGTTTGATGCCCTTACATAAAACCAACGAATAAACACACACACGTTGCTAAGGCAGCTGCTCACTGCCACAATTGCCATTTTCTTCTCCCTATGCACTTTTTATTTTAGATGTCAGGATTTAAAATATTCAGAGCGTCACAAGAATTCATCCTCTCTTGACGGTGACATTTGATGGGAAAAATATATTTTAATGGACATAAAGTTGAAGCAACTCACATCTCACTACGTCTCACTTTCTTAGCTCATTTCATATATATGTGTGTATTTGCTTTCAATATTTACCATCACATCAACCCTAATTCTTAAATCTTGCCTATAATGCTGATCAAATACATTAGAAAAAAAGTCATAATGCGAACATAAAAAAATGCCCAGATTCTGAGATGAGAAAATAAGAAGATGATGTTGGTATTAATAGTTCATGGAAACTTAAGGGCAAAGGCTAAACTATGTGAGCTCCTAAACAGAACCAAAGTAAATGCAATTGAATAACTCTGTGCTCAACATTTGTTGTATAACAACTAATATGGAGTGCACAATTATTCAACTGTGTACATATAATCATATATATCAGTATGTTGATATTTACACAGCACAGACAAATACATTCTCCCAAGTTAAATGTTACTACAATGTGTTTTTTTTTTCTTTTTCCGTAAATGTCTTTTCCATTACAAGATTTCTCATAAATGTTCATCAACGAATGTTTTGGTATTTGTATTCAAGTTTTTCTCGTATAACCAAACAGACAATCCTCTGTTGTCTTCTACAGTAAATACATCACGAGAATAAACATCATGTTACAGCAAAGATCCATTTTCCCTCTTTTTTTTCCTTCCCACCCCGACCCACAGTGATGATCTCCTCCCCCAGCCCCACTGGTGTCTCCCCTCCAGGCCTCCCTCCCTCCGCCTGTCAACTCACAGATACACAAACAGACAAACAGAGGAGTGTGGAAATGAAAGTGGTGGTCGGTGGAGAGCCACACTCCAAAATCACAAGGTCAACCTGGGCAAAGGAGACAAGCAAAGACGAGAGGGAAAGAAAATGTTAAATAAACAGCAAACACATCATTGGATAAATTACACATACATACAACTAACTCAACAAATCATGGCTTTTTAAACGCTTACAATGATACTATTTATTCACAGTAACACCAAGAAATGACAGTATGATGTATATTTCACTATAGGATAAGGAGCTGGGCAATTACTCAAATTGAAATCATGTTTTTTTGCTTCTATGAATAAATAAACCAAGATCGTCTTTATGAACTCACTGTGCATCTTTCTATTTTGTAGTGATGCTGTGTGGCAGCCTTCCAGTTCAATTCCAGGAGGAGACACAAATCCCTTTGGGGTTGTGTCAAGAAGAGCATCTGGTATATATTGTTAGTGGGATTATAACAAAAAAAACCAATTTGGAACAACAGTAACAGTAACTCAGGCACAAAGTGGTAGGCCACGTAAAATCACAAAGTGGGCTCAATGGCTGCTGAGGCGCATATTGTAAAGAGGTCGCTAACTTTCTGCAGAGCTACAGACCTCCAAACTTCATGTAACCATCAGAACAGTGTATAGAGAGCTTCATGGAATCAGTTTCCCTGGCTGAGCAGCTGCATCCAAGCCTTACATCACCGAGTGCAATGCAAAACATTGGATGTAGCCATGTAAAAAATGCTGCCACTAGACTCTAGAGCAGTGGAGACGTGTTGTCTGCGGTGACTTCTCACGCTTCTCTGTGGGGTAATCAAATGGACGCGTCTGGGTTTGGTGGTTGCCAGGAGAATGCTACTTGTCTGACTGCACAAGTGCACAAAGCAAGGTCCATAAAGACATGGATGATCGGGTTTGGTGTGAAAGAACTTGACTGGCCTGCACAGAGTCCTAATCTCGGCCTCATAAAACACCTTTGGGATGAATTAGAGCAGAGAATGCGAGCCAGGCCTTCTCATTCGACGTAGTGTCTGACATCACAAATGTATTTCTAGAAAAATGATCAAAACTTCCCATAAACACACTCCTAAACCTCGTGGAAAGCTTTCCCAGAAGAATTGAAGCTGTTATAGCTACACAGCGTGGGCCACCATCATAGTAAACCATATGGATTAAGAGTGGGAAGCCACTCAAGTTCATATGTGTGTGAATGCAGTAGCTGTTGTTTTTACGCCTCCACTTTCCTTTACCTTTGCCTCTCTGTAAAAGTCTAAATCCATCCTCTGCAAGGTTGTGGCACTTTTTTCTTTTTACTTCACATGTATCTGTTATTTAATTAATTTTTTTCAGCTGAATTATAATTAATTCAAATAAATTAGGGCAGAACGGTGGCACGGTGGTTAGCACTGTTGCCGCACAGCAAGAAGGTCCTGAGTTCAATTCCATCATTTCTGTGTGGAGGTTGCATGTATTCCCCCATGTTTAATCAATTAACCTATCCCCCACTAACAGTCCAAAGACATGCAGTTAGTGGGGATAGGTTAATTGATTAATCTAAATTGCCTATGGGAATGAATACATGTATGTGAGAGTGAATGTTCGTCTGTGTCTCTATGTGTTAGCCTGGCGACCTGTCCAGGGTGTACCCCGCCTCTCGCCCTATGACAGCTGGGATAGGCTCCAGCACCCCCCGTGGCCCTGAAAAGGATAAGTGGATGCGAATGGATGGATAAAAGAAATCAGCTGGCAGAGTAGTGTCCTGTGTTCTTCCTGTGCTTTTGTGGGTTCCCTCTGGGTACTCTGGTGTCTTAACATACACGAGGAATGCATAGATAGGTGAAAGGTAGTTAAGAAAATGAATGTGTGGTTAAAGGAAATTCACTTTCTGTGCTAAACTGGTGACATGTCCTGTGGACTCTACCTCTAATGTTATGAAGTAGTTAAGAAAATGAATGGATGGATATTGACTTAATGAAAAATATAGTATGATTGATATGAAACAATACTTTGCTCTTTTGACTTAAGTATAGCATTCGGTTTGCAAATCAAAGAGCCAGAAAATCTGTCTAAAATATATTGAGGTTACATCCTTTTTAACTGTGGAGTAACTTTCTCTATTTGCTGAAATTTGATTGGTCAATAGCAAAAGTGACATTCTTGTTTACCTGCTGAACTGCTCAAATTTAAGCAAATTATTTTGCGATTGTTTGAGTACATTGATGAGTATATTTTTGGAACTTTAAAACATTTTTGACCAAACAGGGAAAACAAATCATTGAAGAAGATGAGCCAAAGTGCAGGTTTTAAATCCAAGAATACAAGGCAATGGCTTCTGAGTACTCTAAACCACGTTTCTAAGTGCTCTGTGTGGCAGACATTTCACATCTTTTAATACTAAGTGCAGTTTTAGCTGTCAGTGTAGTCTACAGCCTTGGAGCAAAAAGCTCTCTCACCATAGTTATAAGACCTCTGGAGGGTAGTGGAACTCAAAGGCCAAAGAGAGCTGGTAAATGTATGTACTGTAGCTGGCTCAAAAGCTCCTTTGCAAGTCAGATGTTTGTACACAATTGGTCCTTATCGAATGACTAGATCTTTCTCCCGCAACCTTCACTACTGAACATTAACAATAATGCTGTTTCAGTAAATGTCGAAAGATACCGACTGAATCTGGCATACTCTTAATTATAAAGCCTTGACCTTCATCCTCCAGATTTTACCTTGGAGTCACAATAGGCCTGATCTCTTTGAAGCCTGTGAGAACATTAGTTGTGGATGTTTTTGTTTTCTCCTTTCAAAATGGAGTTGAGAGGGTAAGAATACTTCTGTTTGTGCTGTAGCTAACTAACTATTTAATTAACAATGAAAGTTCAAACTTTTCTTTTTATCACCTGCTGCATAAGATATCGAGCAGATGACGAAAATACAAAAAAGAGGACATCTTCAAACTTCACCTTTCTCAGGTTATTAGGCTATTACAAGTGGATACATTGTAAACAGATACATATAAACTGACTACAGACTTACTTGTTGTTTCTAGAGTATTTAAAAGTAAAATGGGAGACAGAGCCTTCAACTTTCAGGCCCCTCCTCTGTGGAACCAGCTTTCAGTTTGGATTCGGGAGATGGACACTGTCTCTACTTTTAAGATTAGGCTTAAAACTTTCCTTTGAGCTAAAGCATATAGTTAGGGCTAGATCAGGTGATCCTGAATCCTCCCTTAGTTATGCTGCAATAGGTGTAGCCTGCTGGGGGACTCCCATGATGCATGGAGTATTTCTTCCTTAGTCATTTTTCTCACTCTCTACATGTTTATACACCTTTCTGCATTGAATCATATGTGTTATTAATCTCTGTCTCTCCTCCACAGCATGTCTTTTGTCCTGTCTTACTTCTCTTGGCCCACCCGGTAGTGGCAGATGGCCGCCCCTCCCTGAGCCTGGTTCTGCCGGAGGTTTCTTCCTGTTAAAAGGGAGTTTTTTCTTCCAACTGTCGCCCATGAATTTGCTCATTATTGTAGGGTCTGTTGTTGTGATTTGGTGCTGCGTAAATAAAACTGAATTTAATTAAATTGTTTTATTTTACTTTAGTTATTAATAGAATAACTTTTTATTTTAAGCACTTTTATGTTTTCCAAAAAATAAGTGTGATCTATAAAAGATGGATTTATGGATTTATTCACTGTGATGCCACCCATAGATTTGTAGATTCTTGTTTTGAAATCTTGCCTCAAGCAGTTTGACTGCCACCATCTTGCACCCCCCCCCCCCCCCCCCCCCCCCCCAGAGAGACTGAGTACATTGGGCACTCACAGTAAGCCCACACCCTAAAGCACACCCTGATTTACTTTCTGTTTTACTCAAACTATGACAGTCATTTACAAAATAAACATTGTGTTGTAAGACTTGAAAACCATAAATATACCAGGATGTGTGTTTTTCTGAGGTCATAGATGAAGGAAGTGTTGGATCATTCTCTCATAACGTTTGTTTTGTAACCATTAGAGAAAATACAAGTTTAAGGTCGCTCTCTGAAGCAGTTGCATGCTGGATTTCAGAAAATCTTAACATTACTGATGAAATCTAATGCGCTCCAGGAAACTTCTCCATGTCATTTTCATAGTACTTGTCATTTTAGCCAAGAGGCAATGTGAAAAAAGACTCAAAAAGTGGACCATAGAAAGCATTTGTGCATTCAACCCTTTATTTGTGCTTAAAATATAATATCACATTCAATAATGGATATCTATGTCATTCTAACAACACGAGTAGAAAAAAAATGTGAGTAGAAAAACTGGACAGATTTTCTACTCATATTTGCACTCACCATTCTGCAGCTGTAGTGTTTCAGGACAGGCTCACATCTGATTAGAGTAAGAGGTAGGCTGCTGGTCATAGCCCTGGTTATAACCTCCATCCTCATTGTAGCCTCCCTGCTGGCCGTAATCGGGCTGGTAACCTCCCTGGGAGCCGGCATAGGGGTCCTGCTGTCCGTAGCCTTCCTGGGCATAGGAATCTGGGGCGGGCTGCTTCTCCTGTGATGGGACATACGTTCCAGCAAAAGCGGCCTTCCAACCGGTCTCTTTGAAGACAAACCAGAGGTTTCCAATCCACAGGATAAGGTTGATGAAACCAAAAGCCTGTGGAGGAAAAAAGAGACAAACGTTTGTTCTTATCGTTATTCTAGTATCATCTCTTTACATTGTGTCGCTAACAGAAGCATTTTAAGCCTACCACAGAGGTGTTGAGGCCGGAGACCTTGGGGTCATGGATCTCACGGCACTTATTTTCTCGTTCTTCACAGGCTTGGATGAGAGTGATGACCCGCTCTGGATCAGTGGCTGTTTTCACATCTGAGAGGCCTTTAGCCCAAGCACAAGAAGATACCAGCCACATGAAGGCAAATACCGCCGTCACAACAAAATCCTGGAAATCAGCAACACAAGGTTATTGTTTTTTCCTATCATTAATTGAGAAGTATTACATTTAAGACAAGATGTACTTTTTATGTGCTTCAAGGTAACAAACTCACAATCTGGGCCCCTTTATTGTTTTCACGGTACTTCTCTAAGATGAAACAGTATACAGCGAGCGCTGCCATAGAGTAGAGGAAGGAAAAGACACCAATGGTGACGAAGAACTCGGCTGAAGAGGAGTAGTCCCCGACCAGGAACAGACGCTCCTTGTCTCCTCCCTTACAAGTGGGTGCATCAAAGTAAACCTGATGGAGCCTGGGGGCAGGAACACAAAAAAAGGGATAGACACAGATGAGAAGGTGTAAGAGCTGCAAAAATACAGCAGATGATTCTAAAGTTGTAAATCTGAAACATGCTGTAGCTGAATTTTAATTTATTCAAAACTGGGTGAATTGAATTCTCAGAGACTTTTATGCAACCAGAGGAGTCTTCTCCTGCTGGCCATTACACAGAAGGCAGATTTAAGGGACTTCCACATTAGGTTTATTTTTCAAAAGCAGAAACTGCATACTTTTCTTTATGTACAGTTTATTACTGCAACAAGCAGAATTTGTTCAGTTAGCTAGAGCTTCTAAAATAGTAAACTTCTCTGAGCTTCTTTGCTACAGAACAACAAGCATATCTAAAATAAAAATAAGTCTTTCGTGACAAAAATTGCCCCCCCAAAAGGACATATTTATTTATTTATGAATGCTGTTAAACTTAATCTAATGTAGAAGGCTGTCAAACTGTAAGTTCAATTAAATGTTAAAAGTTCAGTTATGTGATGATATAATCCATACCTGAATGGATATTCAAACTCTACTTCTACGTCTAGATCACTTTCCGAGCGGTTGCTGCACTCCACACTCATCTTGAACATGCCAGAGTAACTTCCACATGTCGAGAAAGCGAAGATTGCAAAGATCTGTGGGAGAAGGAGCAGGAATACGCCAAATTACTTGATTTGTATCCAGAAGGTAAGAGTTACACTAAAAAGGAACAAACATTGTTTGAATTCTGGCTTCCCCACAAAGTATAAAATACATATTAGAGGATAAAGTTGGACAACCATGTTTGTTTCTTTGAGAATGTGGACTTCTTTATGTTACATATGAGGAGCAGAATTTTTTGTGTTAGGAGTTTTCTTGTTGTTTATTTGTTTACTTGTTTGCATGATTACAATGAATGAATAAAAATAAATACATGCATGCCTTAATAAAATATGTACTGAATTTAAAACCCCATCCATGTGGTCATTGACACATTCTAGACAACCATGACTATGCTTCCCAACCTTTGCAGTTTCAAGCAGACTTATCAAGATCAACCAATCAGAGCGAGGTGCTAATAAATTCCCACAGAGTGCAAATAAATACAGCATTATCAGCAGGTTACAGAGCACTGACTGCACCTGTTGCCCACGGTACATTTAAATTGGTTTTGTACTGTTGTTTATGTGTGTGCATGTGTGATTGTGCATTCGTTTACAGGGTGCCTCATTATTACTGTAGGTGCACTTAGCTCAGTCTTATTTTTCACCTCTTACCTGCAGTCACATAAACAGCACAGACAAATATGAGTGGAGATAAACTTGCAGCCTCTCGCTCTTCACACACACACAAACAGCAGATTAGACAAGTCGGACTATATTTACCACACCCTCCCTACTCTGCAGACCAGATCCGATTGGATAGAATATCCAGCTATTAATCTGACGGAGGTGCTCCACCATCTGTTACCAAATACTCAGCTTCCAGCTACTGTACAGTCAGTCACAACACATGCATACATACACACACTGGCACACCCCCACACGTGAGTGCATATGCACACACACCAGCTCACGTCACTTCCTCTAGCCTCATAGTATGACCTACGTGCAGAAGGCATAAACACACTAAACTAATTACAGTAATCTTTCAGCTAATGTGAGTACAGAGGCTCGTTTGTTGGATTTGCACAGAGTGAGTGACTAAATTGAGCCCTATTGTTTTAATTTTGTTCTTCCCTGTTCCTTTAGGGCTGTGTTTAAGTTTAAAGTGTCCTCTGCCAAAGCCCAAAGGCTTATTAACAGGTTTTAATAATCGATGCAAATGACTGTAGATGTGAAAGAGGCGGCATTATGTGTGAAAGGAGAGACAAGAGCACTCGTAAGCAACACAGTCATCTCTCTTTCTCTCTCTCTATTAAATTTAAAGCAAAGAAAAAAAAACCATTTGCCATCTGCAGTGTAGCTCTGGTGCAAAAATCCAGTTGGAGCTTTGGAAATTGACCAGATCTAACCCAGAATGTTTGAGAGATCTAAATGCACCCTAAAAGTGAGAAAATCTGTCCATCCGTGTTATGTTCTTCATGGGCAAGCAATTAATCCTTAACACTGAGCAAATCACCATTTATATCAATAATAAATAGGGGTGTTATATTTGTTTAAACTCCAAACCAACAGCATAACAGAATCAAATGCTGAAGTAACTGTGCAATTAATCAATATCTACAACCTGGGCAGTAACTGCAGTGTAAGCACAATCCTTAACACAGCCTGCAGTGTTATGCTATAAATGTGTACCACCCATGCTGTTACTATTAACTGTTCATTATTTTCAAAACAATTAGAGGTTAAAATTTCTTGAGTGAGCTCAGTATGGAGACTATTTGGTGCCTCAGCTGTGTGTTGTTCTTACAGATCAAATGAAAACACACCTTTAAACATAAAATATGTAACGAGCCCGATTTTGATGTGGTGCAACATGATGATGTAGCTAAATATTAATACAGTATATTAACATATGCAAGAATTCATAGTTTGTTTGTTTTTTACAGAGTCCTTAAAAACAACAAAGCATAGCAGATTATTAAAGTCAGGAAGGTGCTCATACAGTACTCATGATAAGAGTCTTAGGTGCTTTTTATTTCTTTCTTGGCAACAGAGCAGAGACTAATATTTATTTAGGTAACAGCTTGATATTGATAGCACAATGAGATGTTTCCAGGTGGATCCTGAAAAATACTTTTTGAAGTATCAGCAATGGGTAATACCACTTTTTAAATGCTCTGCTTCCATACAGTCAGCATAAAGTGTTATGTGTTAGTTGATGCCTTAAATTCGCCTGTTGCTAATGTTGCTTTGATCACCAAGATCTTTCAAAACAGCCAGTGCAGACGTGCTGTCGGACAGTTTTTATGTAAATTTTGGCATGCCTGTTATCAGATCATCACTGGTTTTGCACGGACTGGATTTGAGAGTACGCTGATCAAAAGTGAATTGCTGGGTTATGGGCCTAATGTTTGAAACCCCTGTTGTAGTGCTATATGCTATATGTTTCTCACATGATGGTGAACAACTTATGAATTTTGATCTGATAACAGATCTTGATGATCAAAGCATCGTTACACACACAGGTGAAGGTAAGGCCAGAAAATCGCCTATGAGACAGCTAACAGTTGGGAGTGAAAAATACATATTCTCCAACTGGTTGGCGAGTGGTTCCCACAAATTGCTAGCAGTTGCTAGCTGAAATAAGTTATAAAGAGGTTTAATGGTGCTCCACCAGTTACTTGATCCTTAGCAGATTGCCACTGTTGCGTGTAGTGTGCAAAGGTTGTGCCTCATTACCGCAGCCAGCCTGCTGACCCTTCAAAAAGTCTACCTTAGTTTGAAGCCAAATGTTATCCATTTCTGGTTTATGTTGCCCTTCTAACAGTTTCACTACTGCTTGAAGAGTAGCTGGTGAGTGTTTGCAGACAAGTTGGTTAACTCCATGCAAACCCAGGCGACCACTGTAATCTGCAAGCAACCAAAGGAACTGCATAAATTACCATCAACCTCTTATTAAGTGTTAGTTGATGCCTTACGTTCTCCTGTGTATGTAGTGATGCTTACATAGATATACATACACAGGTGGAGGAATACACATTTTTAACAGGGGTGTCACTGACTGGTCTATAGGCCTGTGTGGCTGGGCTTTAGTAATCGATTTCACAGACATTGATGTTAACCAAACCACTCAGCAACTGGTTGGGGATTACACATTATTCTCTTACATTCTGTGGTTGCCAGATCATCACTGTCTCTAGGCCTATGACTATGGCCTTTTTCACATGATCCTTCACTGTCCAGCCTATGTCACATGGTTAGTCTATTACGATTTTATTAAAGTTTAAAGTTAGGGATGTGGCTGCTTTGAGATACCTGGGCCTGTACTTGTCTGCCTCAGCTCGGTTAATTCCAGTTATTGAACTGGAGCTGCTGTTTATGCCTTATGGACACACATTAAACACTTCCATATAACTGGTCTTCTTTCCACAATGACAGGAGTCGTCCCCTGCTGGCCATTAGAAATAATGCAGATTGCATTCCCATCAATATATATAAAGCAAAGTACCAGCACTGAAGGAAAAGTCAGGGGATAGTCAGTTTCTTGTCTCCCAGGACTGTAAACTTTTTGTGGAAACATTCCTGTGATCATTTTAGAGCTTGGATAAAAATCTGTGGTCAGCAAATAGAATCTAAATGGAAGGCGCCTTTGGACAATTAAGCACTGCACTTTTATGGTGATAAATGAGTAGAGGGAGGCGTTGTGGAGAGGAAGGAGCGGGACAGCCAGACTGAGTAAAGAGATGGTGGCACACTGAGTGCTAGGTGCCATGGTAACACTGCTGGCAGCATCACACAGCGAGGAGGCAGAGGCTGGCTTCTACCCCTCCTGGTATGCTGAATGGTTGTCAGCAGAAGATATACAATTCTTCACACTCAGACACAAATGATCTGCTGTTCTCACACTCCCTGTCTGACTTAGTTTGCCTCCATCTCCGAAATTATTGATCCAGACATGGATAGAAGTAGCAATTGTAAATAACAGAGCATGTAGATGTTGTAGTTTTGGGACTATCCTAGTTCTAACGAAAGCAAAGGCATCTTTAACGTGTCAAAACTTGTCATTTAGTATGCAATCTATAAACTGACCCATATATGTGTAGAAAAAATACACACCAAAAGCAAAATAAACACAAGCTGTCTAAGCCTCCACCAGAGGCCCTGGAGTAATAACCACCAAGAGTGTCTGCACAGCAACCCCCCCCCCCCCCCCCCCGCCCCGAGCTACAACAAAATCAACAGCCTTTATTACACATTAGAGACCATGCCAAAGTGAAAAAGGCTGTTACTTCATGTTCTCACAGCCTTTATAAGCCTGCTGAGAATGAGTCAGAGCAGAAATCTGAATACAGATTAAATTCAACATCGCAGTGGCTTCATGTAGCAGCTGAGAACAGTTCCTGGGGTTCAGCTCTACATCAGCTGTATTCTGGAACTCAATGTCTTCTAACATCCATCAAATCTAGGCTGTGTCAGCACTATTCCCCAGAGACAGGGAGAGAGAGAGGATGGGGTGAGGTGGGCAAATCCACATTAGTCACACATACAGTATGCTGTTTTAATGTCACTCATGCAACAAGAATAGTGCTCACTTGCTTCTGCATGACCACAAATCCTCAACCCATATACAGGACTGTCCATTTCTAACTACTCTCATCTCTCCAGTTCAAAAATGGGAATACTGATATGTACACAGCTGGTAAACTGCTGCTATTTCATTGATGCATGAACTGTGCTCTATAAAAGCACAAAAAAATGTTTCGTTCGGCTATACAAATATACATCTTCCTGATTTCTGTTTCCAGCAAAACCTCCACTAGAATCTGGAAAAATACTTCTCATGGGTGGATCCTCTATCCCCTCTCCTAAAAAACACGGTGTTACTGGTTAGGCATGCCCATATTAATCCACAAAGAGGAGTAGATCCAGGAGCTCCTCCTCTAGCCCTGACGCTGAGGCACGCAGGCCCACTGACAGATTATTCATGGGCCTTGGCCTCCTGAGCGGGCTACTGATTGGTGGTTGGCTCGCACTGACCCAGGGAGGCAGTGATGAGGTGCTGGCACACTCACACAGCTCCAGGGAAGGACTTCAGAGTCATGCAGCACACTCACGGCTCTGACTATTCTCTAGCATATCTGCAGAGCCCATTACAATGTGGAACTCTTTCAGCACTGCTCTGGCACACGCGTTCTCATCTGGGTTGTTTTAGCTGTGCTCTCAGGCTGAGGAGCAGAGGACAGGCCAGGGATTACTGCACCCATCCAAGGAGGGGCACGCCCTGCACCCTCCCAAAAATGCATTCTGACATTTCATTATGTAGGAGGAATTGAAACATTAGAGCTACATAACCTTTGGGTCATTTGTGAGCTAAGTCCTATTTTTAGATGTGCTGTTGTGATATTTTTAATCATTAAATGTTCCCTAACATTAATTTATTGATTTTCTTCCTTTGCATTTTTTGTTGTTGTTGCAGGAATTGGTGTGGTAAGGATAATGGAAAGTGGTGTGTGTGTGTGTGTGTGTGTGTGTGTGTGTGTGTGTGTGTGAGAGAGAGAGAGAGAGAGAGAGAGAGAGAGTGAGTGTGTGTGTGCAATGCAATCTTCCACTTCTAATCAGTATATTGCAACATAATTCAGTGAATTGTGGCTAACAGTAGCAAGATTTACTCCTTAAGGCAGGTAGTTACTGCCCTAAGTGATGATGAAAACAGCTCGACCTACAGAGATACATCAACTTAATAAAAATAATTAAAAACCATCAGTTACTACATTATAACTGTGGCAATAAATAATATTACTTGGTCATTTCAGCTGTAAAAGTGGCATCTGCAATCACTGCTAACTGATTGGTCAAGTTATTGACCAAAACAAAACAAACCCTAAATGAAACAAATATACAAGTGAAGTAAGTTTTCAGTTCAGGATATTCATAAATGCAATGATGAATAGGTGCTATGACTATCAGCAACCCAAGGTTTAATTATTGCTTCTAGATACCTTAATATATGTCAAAAGGAAAAGCATGCTTTTTTAAATGACTATAGTAATTATTGTATTATTATTATATTACAAACATGTCAATCTGATTATTATTGCAGAGAATATTTTAGTCACTTTCGAGATCGCAGTCTGCTACAATTATGACAGCAAACCAGATGCGGCCACGGTCAGTTAGTAGCATAACCATAAGTAGTGCCTCTGTTTCCGTCACTGAAATGCCCCCCAGCTGTGGACACAAAGGAAAACAGAAAGAAAGCGAAAAATGCAATGTAGCTGCACCACTCTCCACCCTGCAGCCTCTTCACTATGCTGCTGATGATGATGGAGGACAAACACTGTGAAAAACAACACATAACGAGAGAATGTCTGTGACTGTGTGAGCTAAAAACATTTCCAGTTAAGAGGGAAACTGTTGCCATGATGCAACATTTTCTGCCTAAAAGCTGACTTGAAGGGTTGAGCACCTGATGGAACTACAAAGAAAATCTAAAAAGATGTCTGGCTATTTGTGAGTACAACACAGCGTGTGAGGTGTCCCATATTCCACCAGCATAAACAAATAAAGGCAAATCCTTGCAATCCTCGGGTTTTCTCCCTGCATCGATGAATTAATGAATGAGTAGCTTGGTTGGAACAGGCTGCACATAAAAAATGGGTACTAAATTGCACTAGCATGAGGGCACATCCTCTGAGATGGATTTAACAAATTGTCATTATATTCCTCAGTGAATTGACACAGTGTTACTACAGAGTGATGTAATACAGCCTGCTGGTATCTCCCACTCAGGGCTGCTGGGGCAAGTATTACCATAACCATAAAGAAACATGAGACTCCACAGTTTCAATTTGGAGTCTCAATGCATTACTTAATCATGTGCAATTCAGTAATTAAGAGGCCTTAGGATAAGTTTTAGGAGAAATCATTTTAAAAAAAAGTCAGACCTCCATGTAGGCCTTGGTTTTGTTGCAGTCTTCCACTCCTAATCAGTATATTGCCAAACAATTCACTGAATTATGGCTAACAGTAGCAAGAGGTACTCAGTAATGCAGATAGTTAATGCCTAAATGACCATGAAAACAGTTCAACTTACAGAGATGTATCAATTGAACTCCTTTTGGTGATTTCAGTCATTAAAGTGGCTTGGTTCATGTTTCAGGAACAATAATAAAAGAAAATACAATTAAAAAAACGTCTGACCTCTGAGTCTTTTCCCCAAGACTCGACATGCATAGCCATCATAATGTACCATGCAGCTTTATGGCCTCTGTGTGACAGAAGGTCACAAATATGGCATCAAGGGACATGCAGGCATTATGTATCACACAAAACCATAGAAAAGCTTCAGGATTTCTTCTTTTGTAATATGATTTTATTACAATTTGTATTAAAATATTCCCTCGTTGGTGCTGTATATCATGATCACTGCCACCAATAAATGTGTAACAACAGAAAACTTACCCATTGTAGAGCTTTTATAAATCCCAGAGGTTGTTTGATTATCGTGAACTGCCCTTGGGCCACCAGCTGTCAAGACAAAAACAGCAGAAAGAAGCACTTAATTTTAAAAACATCACGTTTTGGACTTTACTCTAGTTTTATGAACTCTGTGCCTCTCAGTCGAGCAGGCACGATGAGGCTGATTAAAAACACAAACCTCATTACTTCAGTCTCATTGCCCACAAGCCTGGCCTGCTCCTGGCACCTGCAGGTGTTTGTTATACTACGGCAACAATCTGGCAGTGAATACAGTGAGTCACCTGCCAGAGCTCACATCTTTGTGGACTTATGAGGTGATGTAGTGTAGTAATTTGTAGTATAGACTTCAAAGGCTGTGGTGTATCTGTATGTGTAAGAATGAGGCACAGAGCTGCTCCTGCAGCTTTACAATTACACAAAGCTGATTAGCGGTCTGCCGCTCGGCTCCCGTGCTGCACACTCCTCAGCAATTCTTTGACTTATTTATGAGGAAATCCCGTTTTTTAATTGACGATCAAGCCAAAAGAGGGGCTGGCGTGCAGGTGAATGCGACAAAGCAAAGAAGGCGGTGTGTCCCCGTGTGCATCAATAAATGGCCGCACCGGAATAAGCAGCAGTGATGATTTTCTCACAGGCTGCGGGGCCACTTTTATCCTCATTGTTTCTGCACAAAGCCAAACATCCATATTAAGCAGATGACGCAGGTACTGACAAAATTCCTGCTCAGAGGAGCCTGACAGCCTGATATCCGCTCGTCTCCCCGGGAAGACTTGATGGCTTTGACACAAACCATTCAGCAGTCTGAGAGATGAGCTGTTCGGGACCAGCGAAAGAGAGATACAGGAGCCTGTGCTCCTCTTTGGCCTACTGCGGTTATACGAATACAGCGAGGGCCTTGGAAATTAATCAGGTTGTCGTTTGTTATCGTGGCAACAGCGGGCTAATTGAGACGTGGGCAAACTAAATCAATTAGGTGAATCCCCTGAGATAATAGGTATCATCGTCTCCTTCCGTAGCTAAATGTCATTGCTGCAGAAATCTCTGGACATCCTACTCATTTTTGGAAACTCAGCGGGCCACTTTAAAACACACACTGCAGCATCAGCTGTGGAGAAATCTCTCATTGGATTGGACCCTTTCGTGTCCCTATAAAACTGCATTTTAAAGATTAATTCCCAAATTCACATTTCGAGTCCAAGGACTCCAAAACGCATTCGATGTCTACATTTAGAATAAAATATCGCCATTAAAACGGGCGACAAAATGAAACGAGTATTAATAAATGAAACAATCGTTACCACACGAAACAATAATGAAATAGATGATTTCCCCATCAAAGCCTTACCTGGTTTACAACATCCATCTTGGCCGCTTACTCGCTGATAAGAGGATCAGAGGGGCGGGGGGAGGGAGGCGTCTCATCCGGAACAGCCCAGGGGAGGAAGACGCCCAGAAGGAAGAGCTGGAATGCGTCACGAGCTGGACGAGCGTCGTGACGTCAAAATAATTACGAGGATGTGGAGTAGCGACGAGCCGGGCACTCTATCCAATCGCGTCGTTGCTTTTATTCCGAGGGAGCAGAAACTACCCCGGGGGTGATGATGGAGAGAGGAGCGCATGGAGACTGTTCACGCTTTAGTGGAAGGAGTGGTTTAGAGGAGAACATCAAAAGGTCAATGAAGGTTTGTGAACAGATGCTAGTCATTAACAGTCAGCACGATCACCTGACATTATCAAAACAGCTGTTTGCTTGTTTTTTAATGTATATTTTCCCTTTAGAAGTCCCCGTAGCCAAAACCTGCGAGGGAAGTTGGGGAAAGTTCACCGAGAGTTCTGGAAGATGAGGATGGAATCATAAATAGAGTGCTAGTGAGGCCAGGTGGGTTTGGCTCCTTGTTTTCACCAGAAATGTCTTTGAGCATTTTATTGCCAAACATCGGGAGCTGCAACTGTAGTTGCTGCTCCTGTATAATGATAATGACCTATCGTCGTTATGCAAAGTAACTGTGAAATAACCGAAATGAGATGCAAAATATTAAGATCAATATGACATCCAAAAAAGCCTTTAATCACAAAAGCAGACAAACAGTGCCTTCACAAAGTCACTGCAATTTTTGTGAAAAAAAGCAAACGTTTCCCTGTTGTCTAAAACTATGCATTAAAATGCACACTGAAAAAGTAAACGTTAGGACATGTAGAGGGTTGGCGTGACAGAAGAAGAGGCTCGAGACAGGATGAGATGGAGATGAATGATCCGATTTGCGACCCCTAAAGGGAACAGATAGAGAAAGAGAAAGCTCAAAAGCAAAAGTCTGTAGGTGCTTATAATTCACACTTGTTTAAAAATATTTTTGGTCACATTCACATCAAACGGTGAAGTAAACAGCACACGGAAAATCCATTTTCACATCTTTATGTTTGAATGACTAGATGGGAAGAGGAAGTGTATGAAAGTGCTGCAAATGCAAATTCAATCCCCTTCTTTTTATTAAAAAAATGTGATGTACTGCTGGCATGTCCAAGTTGTACTTACTTCCCACCATGTGACACCTGGGGTAGATTAAAGAGGGCCTTATTCTCTGACATATATAGTATAATACTATAACTGTGGATGCTATAACTGTGGATGCTCATATTAAAAATGTTAAGCATAGAAACGAGTAATCCCTGCTACATATCCTCCTTAGACAGCTTTCTTCTTTGTATGGTGTTAATGAGAGGAGATGTCATTAATCCAGTCATCTGGCCACCTGCTATTAAAATCTAGTAATAGGGAGGGGCGTCCAATCAGAAGAAATGTTTCAAGGGAGGAGGAGTGGAGCTAAATTCCTTGTTTTAGTCAGTAAATTAACTGAAGGGGATGCATGAAGTATAAGATATATGTAGAAGAGTTTGAACGACGAGTTATGCAAAGCTACTTCGGTACAGTCCAGAAATAAAAACTGAAATTTGGAAATGCAGAAGGTAGCTTTCCTTAAAGGGTACATCATACAGGGTTTTAATGTTGCTGTGCAGAGATAATCCAACCTCTTTGTCTTGAAAGTCTTTAAGAAAGCTGTTATGTGACAAGAAACCACTTCTCCAATTGTTTGCATCAGAATGGCATGTTTAAAGATTTTAAGCCAGCCCTAAAGCTCTGGTCAGACAACCTTCTCATAGTGTTAGATGATCGACTCGTCCTCTTTTTGCTCGTATTGTTAGATCTTAGAGGTGGGTTTGACACGACTGATTGCAAAAGCTGGAGCATATTATTTGGATTAAAGGCACCACACTCTTGTTTATATCAGTAATACACACGATCATCACCTTCTCAGTGCTGTAGAGATAAAACTTGGCTTATGTTAGTACCATTTTAAAAGGCCACCAAAATAACATGGCCCGTTGTACCAGGCGTTCTTTGTAATTCTGGTCAGTGAATTTTTGTATTTTATTCTCCTCTTAATTTGCACTGACTTGCAGATATCTGTGTCTGTGCTTTGCACTTATATAATTTATGGATGCAGCTTTCTAATGAAGCTTGCATAACTCTCATCCGAATATGGTCACTGCTTACTCCAAAAACAGAACATAGCATTTACCAAAAGGCTAACATTCAGACTGCCAAAACCAGGGGTGAATATGATGGTGGCTGCATCCATCTTTAATGTACAATACAATCTATTGGATGACACTGACAACAGTTAAGGCATGTCTTGAAACACATTCTGAGCATATTTTTTCAATTCAAAGACAGCTTAAGTTTTTGTATGTGGGCCAGTACTACTGTATGTCATGGTCCTGGGTACTTTGACCCAGTGTTTTGAGTTTTCCTGTGTTTTTTTGCCATTTTTGTTTAAGCTCACTTCTTGTTTTAAAGGTTAATTCTATGTTGCATAGGGTGTTCTGTTAAGTTTTGTTTATTAGATCCCCCCGTTGTTTCTTTTCCCTCTGTCTCCCTCAGTGTATCTGTTTATTTAATTGTGAGTTCTTGTGTCCCCGTGTGTTCCCACATCCCTTATCTTTCTGTGTATTTATGCATCTCCCTCAGTTCCATGGCTGTGTTCCTCTCCCTGTGTTTCATGTTATCATTAGTATTTTCCCAGTATAGTTTTGTCTTGTTTACACTTTAAAGTTCTGATGCTGGTCTATAAAGCTCTGAATGGTTTAGGACCAAAATACATCAGTGACCTCCTGACCCAGTATAAACCTTCCAGATCCCTCAGGTCATCTGGATCCGTTTTTATTATCAGTTCCCAGAGTCAGAACCAGACACGGAGAAGCTGCATTCAGCTTTTATGCTCCTTATATCTGGAACAAACTCCCAGAAAGCCTCAGATCAGCTGAAACACTCAGTTTATTTAAATCCAGGTTGAAGACTCACCTGTTCTCAGCTGCATTTGAATAAAGCACCAAATCCACACTGTTTTACTTTTAAGCTTACATTTCAAAACTTAAAATTTTAACTACTGATTTTATCTATTGTTCCCTTTTTTTCTTTTTCTTTTTAAATCATGCTTTTTAATTGTTTCTGTTTTTTAATGTCTCTGTAAAGCACTTTGAATCACCTTGCTGTTGAATTGTGTTATATAAATAAACTTGCCTTGTTTTTGCATTCAGCAAATAAAGCTGGTTTTTGAGTCCTGTTTCCGAGATTTTGCGTTTGGGTCCTTCTCCTGCCTGCACACAGCCGTTTCATGACACATGTAGTCTGAGATCAAAGAGCTCTATTGAGATAATACGAGGTCTTCAAGATGTGATGGATCCTGATGATTCAAGATCTTATGTAGGAGGAGAAAATTTTTAAATTCAATTCTGGATTTAACAGAGCCAGTGAAAAGAATGTCATATGGGAGAATTATGATCAGTGTTAGTGCTGTTTAACAACTCTTCTGGAAATTTTGGAAATAAAAGCAAGGTTGGAAAGGGCGCTGGATCAAGTAAAACCTTTTAAAGTATTGTCCTATTGCAGAAACCTTAAAACTGAAACGGAAAACTTACCGTGAGAATTCGTCACGATGAAGGTATCATTCCCGCTGTGATTCAAAGCCTTTAATAAGGAATACTTAACCATCGTTACATGGAGAAACCTTTGGAATACAAGCGCGCTGATCCACACAGGTATGCACACGGGTGTTCACTGCTCGTAGACCCAAATTACACCTTTCTTGGCTGCTACTTCGAAGCACATCTGTCCTGCGTGCTGCACAACAACATTGAATATTTAGTATTTACTGCTGTTTACACTTAGCTAGATTAATGCGATGGTGTTGTGTTTAGTATGTTGCTTTGTTTGGCTGTGGCCCCCCCACACCCTCTAGCAGATTATTACATGAAGGAACCTTTTAAAAAAACAAAAAACAAGCGCGTCCATGCTCACAGGTGTGCACACGGGTGATCACACCCACAAACTACACCCTTTTTGGCTCCTACCTCAAAGCACACTGTGTTCTGTTGATCTTATGTGCTGCACAATAATGTTTAACATTTAGTATTTACTGTCATATTCCCATATATCATTGTGATGTTGTTTATTCTATTACTCTTGTTCTCTTCTGCTTGCTTTCTTTTTTCTTTCTCAGCAGGTGACCCAGGTGATTGATATATGCATTTTTTTTTCTCTGCCCGTTCTGTTGGTTTTTGTCTTTTGCCCTTCTCCCCCGTCCCTCTTTTCAGCTGTTTCTCTTTCCCTCTTTCTTTCTCCCCTTCTTTCCCCCAGTCAAGTCTGTCCCGTATTCATTAAGTGAAAATAAAATAAACAATAAAAGGTGAATCAAATGGACCATTACGGCAAGGCTGGGATGGTCAGTTTGGTAAAGTAAATCCGTTGGGCATCTTTCTTTGCCTTTAGACAACAATTCTGATGGCAAAAGAGCCAAACGGGACAGGCAAAAAAAAAAAAAAAAAAAAAAGTATGTTGCTTTGTTTTTTGTTTTTTTTGTCTTTTTTTGCTTGTTTTCTATTCTTCTCTCAACAGGTGATCCAGGAGATTTTTATTTTTTTTCTCCCCCCCTTTCTCACTGTCCCTCTCCCCTTCTGTTTTTCCTTTCCTTCCTCCCTTTCCTATCCCTCACTCATGTCTGTCCCGTCTGTAACATCTGAAAATAAAATATAATAAATAATAAAAACAAAGATCGACCAAATGGACCAATACGGCAATGCCACGATGATCCATTTGGCAAAGTAAATCCATTGGGTATCCTTGTTGGTCTTCAGACAACAATTCTGATGGCTAAAGAACCAAATGGGACAGGCGAAAAAAAAAAAAAAAAAAATAAAGGAATACTTAACCAACCTTAACGCATCCTGTAGTTACATTGCTATAAGCCTTGGATACAAAAAAAACCCTCCCATGACATGCTAAGCTCCTGTCTTCTCCTTGCTTTCACTCTCTGTGTATTTCATAGACACTGTGACTCTCTGTGACATAGACTCTCTCAGGGTTTTGCTTTTTTCGTAATCCAATC